TATTGTATAGAATATTACATTGAAATATTTTGGATATTCTATGGAATATTCTAGTAGATTTTGGAACTTATTCTATGGAATATTCTATGGAATATTCAATTGAACTTCTATAGAACATGCTATAGAAGGTTCTATAGAATATACTTATCATTTATAGACCCGGAGCGAGGGGGATTCGGCGTAATATTTCCCGAGGGGCTTTGCCCCGAGGAAAATATCATCACTGAGGGAAATATTACGCCGAATCCCCCGAGCGGAGGGTCTATAAATAATATATTATACCAAAAGTTAAAGAACTCACTAAGTTCAGAATAAACTTTAAAACTTGCTGAATATTATTAAACTATGTGAATACAATTTTTAATTTCTTATGTATACCTGAGTTTTTGACATTTCCTCTTTAAATATTTAAGCATGTATCCTTTGGATCATTAAAGGCAAAATGCGTCTTGAAAATGTTTTGTTAAATCAAATATTCTGTACGAAATTACAAACAACAGTTCGCGAACGCCATATTGTTTCAGAGCATGGTGTCCACGCGTGAGCGTGGGATACTATAATATCCCATGGTGGATCTGCCGTGGGATATTATAGTATCCCACGCTGGATTGCAAAATCATGAATTTGAGTGAAATACCGTAAAAAAATCACATCACGTGGTACAAATGCTGTTTTTTCATTGGACAACTTGAATTTGAGGTATAATATTATAGAATATACTATAGAAGGTTCAATAGAAATTCTATAGGATATACTATAGAAGGTTCAATAGAATGTTCAATAGAATGTTCTATAGAATATACTATAGAAGGTCCTATACAACCTATAGAATATTCTCTACAACATACTATGAATTTGGTGTTGGGATTTACTACAAACCACATGCTCTGCTTTATTAGAAAATATTTAATTAGTAGTTTGCGCTATCGATACAAAATGAAAACACCATAAATTTCATACCAATGCTATTCAAACTTTAAATGATTTTATTTCATGCACAAAATAACAAGATAGTGATAATATATAAATAGATAGATTTGATAAATATAAAAATAGATAGATAGATAGATAGAATGTTAGATATATTTATAATACTGTTCATTTTTCACATGTCTTCTGTTTTGCTTTCTCCACTTTGACTAAATTATTTATTCTGGACATCATTATCTGCTTCACCTCTGTTTCTATGCACCCAAATTTTTTTGCACCATACTCTAGAGACATATCATAGAAAAGTAAATTTAGTTGTTCTCCTTCAGTACAATATTGATCATTACTATCTCACACTTTCACAGACTTTTTGGAGCTATATTAAACATTGTTTTCCATAAACATGTGTTTGGCAAACTGTAGATTGAAGTTTTTACATGTTTCTATACAACAGTAACTCCGAAAAAAGTAATTTACTTTATTTGACAGGAGTTACCGTTGTATTGTATATTTTATGAAAATACTCAGTGCACTAGATATGCACTAGAGGCTACACCTAACGTTCCCATTAAATGTGTGAAGGGAATGACATTTGTTGACCTCTTACCCACTTTTGACACAGTTAGAGGCACAATAACAGACTACATGCATTCTGTGTGCCTAGGAGTTGTAAGGCAAATGGGTCACCTTTGGGTTGACAGCAGTCACCATAGTGAAGAGTATTTATTATATTGGTTAAGTTGATTGATGAATGCCTGCAGCTTATTAGTCCTCCTAGTGAGATTCATAGAAGCCCTCATAGTCTTTCTCAAAGATGCTACTGGAGGGCATTTATCTTTTACAGCTTGATCGTACTTAGAGGAATTCTTCCTGCCCGCTACTTGAATCACTTCTTCCTTTTTGTGTATGGCATTTATGCACTTTTGGGTGACTCCATATCTAATGACTCAATTGTTGTTTCTGAGGTTTGCCTTACAAAGTTTGTGATAAAGCTTGAGCAGTTGTATGGGATTTCGAGCTGTAAGTTGAATGCTCATTGTTTGACACATCTTGCACAATGTGTTAAGGACTGTGGTCCTTTGTGGGCAACTTCTGCCTTTACTTTCGAGTCGCACAATCACACGCTTATAAATATGTTTCATGGGACACAATGTGTTCCACAGCAAATAACGGATACGTTTTTGCTTAGAAACAAGGTTCCATCATTGACCAGGAGTTGTGTCGATGATGATTCTTCTGCTTCTGTGAGGGATATACTTGTCAAGCTGACTGATAATATCAGATTTAAACACAAGAATGACTGCAGTGGGTTAAGTCCATTAGGTACTGGTAAGTTAGTTACGTTAGATGCTAGAAGGATAGTTGCTTTGGAAGGTCTTCTGGATATAGATCTACACAATCAAATTGGACACCATTATGACAGATTTGTCTACAATCATCAGCTGTACTCTAGTGTAGACTATGTTAGATCGAAACGTCACACAAATCACAATATCTCTTAAGCATCCAGTTTTTGCATATGGAGTCATTTTAGGTCTTTTGAGTATCAGGCCATCTTGTGCTTGTACATTAGATATCTGGCAGTACTGCCGATGCCCCTCATATAGCATAATTATGGTGAAACCTATGGAAGCTAGTCAGCGGATGTTATACAGAGATGCTGATTTTAATGTCTGTAGTAGTTTTCTTATAGAAGTTGAACAAACTAACCACGTCATTGCACTTTATCCTTCTCAAACAGAACGGAAATGTATTGGTCTGAGTTCAGAGAACAAGACATATTTTTGTCCATTGCCATACCGTATTTGTGATGACTAGTGTTGTACTCACTATGTCTATGGTGAAGAGTTTTATGTTGGCCACCAAAAGGTTAAAATAGGCAATCTTTGATAACACCCATGCTGATCTTATCCAGCCCCAGTGATTTGTTTCTGGACATTGCCATAATAATTCGTCAAATTACTGAACAAGTAACAGGTTTAAACTTAAACTGTTGAACCGTGGGATAGATTTCAGAGTTCAACATAGGATCCAATAGTGCAATGTTGTTTTTGTTTGCCAGATCTAATGCTGTAGCAGCAGTGATTTTTCCAACTGAGGTGAAGTAGTTATTAAAGTCTTCAACAATCGACTTGAGGTCTTTCGCGTAGATATGTTGTTCCTTCTCATTTACAGGTATAGTTTTATTTATTATTTTCCAGAGAAAACCTGGATTATTCTTGTGGACTTTAACTTCATCAGATAGATGGTTTATTGCTGCCTCCTTAATCATAACTTTAATGTTGTAATTTCTGAAAACCTTCAAATGATAGCTGAATAACTGTGTAACAGTAACAGTAACAAAGCTGTAACAGTAATTTGCAACCATGACAGGATTGGTAGGCTATAAACTAAGCTATCTTTGGGAGAATGTGGTATGAATGTAACCACATCACCCCTGAAAATCAAACGTCTGTGGAATAATAACATCATGCATCATTTGTGAAGTGTCCGCCACTGCGCTCATGATCATTTTAGTAATAACAAAACAAACCTTAGTTGGTGTACCCAGTCCATTAGTTTCTTCGTTTGCTTCTTTGTGCCAAAAATTAAATTTAAGTTCTGAAGGACATGCATGATCTTGGAATCTAATCAAATAAAATTAATCTGATTCAATATTTATCCACATAGATGCACTTCACAGTTACACTTACACAAGCTATGAACCCTATTCATACTCAGGGATGGATTCCAATGGGGTGCTAATTACCCTATCAAATACAAGCCGATTGTCATTGATCAAACAAAAATGTAGTAGAGACAAAATGAGATACAGTAATTTGAGTAATAACATGATGATAAGTGAACTGTGAACAACAATTCAAATACAGTAGTTGATGGGCGAGCGGCACGCATGACTGACACAACTCGGCAGTCGGCACCAGAGCACCCACCTACCAGATCATGCTGGATCCATCCCTGGATCATGACCCTGCTGGATCCATCCATGTTCATACTGTCACCTGTATTATATTGTCACCAATTAAATGTCGGAGGAATACACTAAAACTGGTGTTAGTACATGCCCTATACATCAGACCTTAGAAGTGCCTACATCAAACCAGTGCCAAACAATAAATTGCAATGCAATGTGGGAAACATGTAGGGAAAAATAACCTCATGCTTATATGTTTCAAAACTGTGACATAAGCACTGCCTAGGTCGATTAATCATTATGTTAATACAATACACTTACTTGGCTTAGGTGGTAACAGTCCTTTGCTCATACCATAATATAAGGAGGTTTCAATTTCATCGGCCAATAGCTTGATGCAGTTGTTCTTAAAAGCATTCCTATCTCCAGAGCTTCCAATTCCCAAGACTCGTCTGGCTTCCTCCATTATCTGTTAAGTTAGAAAGCAAAAAATATTTCCATTGTCAAGGTAAGAACTTCATTAAACACTAGCTGTCAGTATTATATATTGTATCAAATTTTCGCCATATTTTAGCAACTCTGTACAAAGTTGATGATCTTGTTGCCAATTCTACAAAGTTCTGTATATGGTCTAAATTCTACAATTTGCTCAACAAAATAATTTCTCAAACATTTGGATTAATGCCATTCTGTTACTTTCGTCCTTGTTAGATCCACTATAGTATTTACCTTGACATGGTCTTTAAAACAAGCATATCGAGAATTCCAGCAAGCACTCAAGCAGTATGGACGTGTGCATTTGAGCTCGTCGAATCTTCACAAGATATTTTCGCTTTGGGTAATTTCCAGTCCTCTACAGTATATGCATACTGATGTTTGATAGGTCTTTAGTTTGTTGTTCCTGAAGCTTTTACATTTACTCATTTATCTAAAATCTGTCCAAAACATCTCGAAATGCAACATGTCACAAGGTCGAATCAGTCAAGCGGTTCTATTAACAATGAGCTTCGTGGCTATTTTGAATCAGAATCCTTTATGGATATTATGAGGAGAGTGGTTTCGAACATGGTTGCGGAAGAATCTTTTCAACTTGCTCTCAAAAAAAGTGTAGATGCAGCAGTGGCGAGCGCCATTGAGCCTTTTAACAAGAAGCTAGCTGAATTTGAACAATACGTGCCACAAGTAACCGAGTTAGAAAAGAAGATTAACGACCTTGAATCTTGTCTGTCGGCAGCGCAAGAGGAAGCTAAACTTGCTATAAATAAAGCTAATGATAACGAACAATACTCTAGAAAATATAATTTGAGATTTATCAGCATTGAAGAGAAGAAAGATGAAAATTGCACTGAGTTAATCGTTGCATTCTGCAAGGAGAAATTGGGGATCGTCGTGCCTGCTAACACTATTGACCGTGCACACCGAGTTGGAAAAAAATCTGAAGCGAAAACCAGAGCCATATTAGTGAAATTCATGAATTATAATTCTAAATTGATGGTTTGTATTCAGAAAAAACTTTTAAAGGATTCCGATTTTTATATCAATGAAGATCTAACTTACATTAATATGAAATTGTTCAGTCATGCTCGCAAATATGCGAGCAATATTAAGTCAACTTGGTTTTCTGATGGTAAACTTTTTGTTTGTGGTGAGTTAGACGATAAAATCTATCGGATTAGGAACATGGAGGACTTTGAACGCTATGATTTTTGTTAACTGCATGGTATGTTATGGGTCCTTAGCCATATATCTTTGAATTCCTGAGACATGATAACTTGTTTGCTATGGTTAATAATCATGGCATTTTTTTAAAAATTACTTCTTTGCTTTTTTGGGGCATCTTGTTTACAACATGAAATTTAGAACAGTAACTAAGTGTTCAAGTTCAACAAAGTGTGCAAGCCAAAACACAGTGTTTGTACATCTTTAAAGTTTTTTGTTTGCGTCAAATATATTTAAAAGGACACATAGTGCTTAAATTTATTTATTTTAATATAAACCAAGGATGGGAAGGTGAGAAAATGGGAATTTTCTGAGGTGTTTTTAACACAGACAATGACAGCCGACATTTTGAAAGGCACTCTGCGGTGACAAAACTAAAAGCTATTCACTTCTGTACTCAAAGCACTGAAAAGCATCATAAAGAGAAAAAAACACTTTAAACACACGTCAGTTAAGACTTTTAGCTCAATATTCTCATGCTTCTATTGGGAAAGCAACGGTTTAAAAGCCAAAATTATTTTGCGCGGCAATGTAGCCTGCTATAAAATGTCAGCCAGGCGGTTTCTTTTGAAGTCTGGCTCTGAAAAACAATCTCTTTTTTTGAGTTTGAAATAAGCCTTCATAAGGACTATTGTGTAGAAATGTTATCTATATGCTCACATGAAAAAGATAACTTTCATCTTTGATTGTTTGTCAGACGTGAGAAACCACATTAGTGCCATTTTGTAGCGCGTGCTATTTTATAAAATAAACACCTCAAAACCATAAACTTTTAGTTCAGAAAATTACAAAGTTTCCTATAGAGATTATTAAAAATGTTCTAGTGAAGCGATTTCATGATAAATTAAGTGAGCAATGGGCCCAAATGAACTGCTAAGGTTGGTTTTTGTTAGGACTTCAATTTCATGGCTTCCCGCAAAGGAAGCCATTTCAGAGAGAAGTGACTTTTTGCAAACAACCGTCGCGACCTATTTTGATAACTTTTCCTTCTGATTCAATGTGTAGTTACTAGAAAATGATGTTGCATCAAACATTATTATCTGCTTTATCGATTTAAAGTTTTATAGAGGATATAAAAAAACAGTAAAAATGCATTTTGAAAGCTTTACAACTCAAGTGCAGATTTTTTTAATATTCGCACGCGACAAGCAAGCGCGTTTATTCAATACACTTATTTTACACCACAATACGTCTGAAACGAGTTGTCATTTTAACACTAAATTGATGAAAATAGATATAACAGTGATTTTGGAATATCCTACTTGTATTCTTGCCAAAAAGTATTCTTGCCAAAAAGATCGAAAAGGTCACATACACACACAGTAAGTGTCGTTTGAAATAGCTAAAATAACAACTTGAACAAGAAGACGAACAATGGGGTCACGAAACAGTCGAAATTGCGCCCAAATTTGCATAAACAGTTTGTCTAAAAGATAACTTTAAACTAGATTCAACCAACATTAATGCAGTCAAATTTTGTGAGTGTTTGATCGCATATTTCTACTGAGTTTGGTGTTCATCTTTCTTGTGATTTCCGACTTCTATTTTTAATAAAGTTTGGAGAAATCCTCATCTTTTTGGCTGAAAACCTCGCGCATGGTTCACAGAAGAACTTGGCCCCAAAACGTCAATACATTCGCTTTCCTTTCATGCCAAATTTTCGTTGTAGATGATTCAAAAACCTCTTCTTTTTTCTCTTTTAAAACTTGCTGTGAAATCCGTCTTTGCAACAATGTCACCATAATTCATTTTATTTGAAAAACTAAGGTTTTAAACTTGAAAAACTTTGCGAGTTTTTGGCCGATTTTCTTGCATGATACATCGTTGAAAAGCTCGTATTTCGCATTCTATTTTCGTATCCGTTGCTAGGCAACCCGATAAACATGTGCTCAAATATCATGCCCGCAAGTTGAGGTGTCATTTGAAGGCATATGCGGGCGCATTGCCAGTTACCCACTTGCCAATCTCAGGGCGCATCCGGGCGCATTGCCAGTTGATGAGTTAAACATATAGATCTCCATGTTCTTGGGTCCTCTGCATCAAAACAACTGAGCAGGGCTTTCGAATAATATTGTCGTAATAAACTTTTAAATGTACTTAAACTTAAATTTGGTTGTCTTAAGTCTGTTGGAAGGCAATTCCATACTCTCGTGACGCGGGTAATATACGATCGCTGGAAAGTCCCTATTTGGGGGGTGGAAGGATAACTCACTGGCACTGGAAGATCTAGTTACTCTCGTGGGGATTATCGGTTTAGGGAGAACATCTTCAGATATGACAACCAGCCCATTTATAGCTTTATAGAAGAACACAAGATCCATGTACTCATGCCAGTACGATAACGGCATCAGTTCTAAAGTGATCAACCTATCACGGTAAGACTCACTACACATGAAAGGAAGATTTAGTATGAACTTGGAAGCTCTTCTCTGGATACGTTCTGTTCGTTTGATGAGACCTATGGACTGGGGCAACCATACCTGACTTGCATAGGCAAGAACAGGGTGAACCACTGACAGATAAAGTGTGCGACGAGTCCTTGTGTTTGTTATTTCTCTACCGCTTCTCCTCACGAAACCTAACAGTTTGTTTGCTTTTGTACAATGTTCCAGAACGTGCTTGGTCCATGTTAAGGTCACTAGAAACCCAAATTCCCAGGTCCTTCTTGGCTGATGTTGTTGCAAGTTTGTTGTCCTTGATCATGTACGGATAAAAAACGGGCTGGGTTTTCCTCGTTCCATGCAGACATTTACACTTGAGTTGGTTGAAGACAAGACCACTGGAGGTAGACCAACTGCCTAGGTTACTCAGATCAGTTTGGAGTAAATCAGCATCACAGATAGAATCCACGCGACGAAAGATCTTGGTGTCGTCAGCAAAGCAGGCAACACTTGAGTTCTTGACAACATCAGGTAGGTCATTTACATAAAGGAGGAACAGCATGGGTCCTAATATACTGCCTTGAGGTACTCCCGAAGACACTGGTTTTACAGAAGACGTTGCACCAAGAGTAGTAATGCGCTGTCAACGATTATATGGATAAGAAGAAAACCAATCGAGCAGAGATCCACTGATATCATATCTTTCAAGTTTGGCGATAAGCACAGCGTGACTGACCTTGTCAAAAGCCTTAGACATGTCCATGAAAATGACATCTGTTTGTTTACCCGAGTCTAACAGAGAAATTGAGCACCTCAACTAGCTGGGTGGTACATGATCTGCCTGGGATAAATCCATGTTGTGAGGTGTTAATTAGTTCCAACAGGTGAACACGCAGCTTGCTCAGCATGCAGCGCTCGAGGACTTTCGATACGATGCAGAGGATCACTCCGATAGTTCTCAACGTGGGTTTTTCTCAATCAGACGATAGTTCTCAACGTGGGTTTTGTCTCCTTTCTTGAAAACTGGAATGATGTTAGCCAGTTTATGGTAAAGAGCCACTATTGAGAGATCGATTAAATAGAGAGCATAACGATGGAGCAATTTGATGAGCAGTTTCTTTTAGAAGTATACCGTCAGGGCCTGTTGCTTTGTTGGTATCAAGGTTTTGAAGGACAATTAAAACGTCGTCGAGGCAAAGTTCAATTCTGACAGAGTAGATTTGCAACCGGTAGTTGAGGGAGGAGTTGTTGAATCAATTGGATTGTCGTTGCCGTTTAGAACAGATAAAAAGTACACATTGAAAAGCTGTACAATGTCACGAGGGCAGGATGCTGACTGGATTGGGGTAGGGTCCGATCCACCTAC